CAATATTGAACAATAATAACAACTTTTACAATAATAATGACAAAAAAATAATCATAATTTTCTATACCTAATAATGATAATTAATGTTGAGACAGTAAAGGTTACCAATCGGTATAAAATTTGGAAATCAAACTTCACTATTGAATAACAATTATTAGTGAGTGTTCTGGTTCCTATTGTGCGAGATCGCAATGATATTTGGATACGAATCGGATTATAATAAGTTCTTAAAGTCAAGCCTTTGTGACTCTCTATTTTATCGCGTAAATAAATTGAAATATTTTGATCCGAATAGATTTTTGATACAAACCTTAATTTCTCAGTTGGGAAAAGGCTGAACTAAAATAATATTCTCAGTCGAACAATAAATAAACTCGAGCCGCATAATAATAAAGAGGCACTTAATGTTAAGCCAAATACGCTGACTTCTCACATTTAATTCGAAATATTTCGATCCAAATAGATTTCTTTCAATTTAAGCTTATTCATTCATTCTCAATAATAATGTTATTGCTTGTTTTAAAGTTTAACGTGCAATTCTACTCAACAGTAACACTCATATTTTTACTCTTTAATGTTTAAGTAAGTTTTCTCTCTTTATTCTCTGTGAAATAGTGGAAGTGTTGATTATTGTGTATAAAAATAATTTTACGCAACAACTTTTAACAATTTTAATAATTATGTATTGGCCAATTAAAATTAGTCAAAACAATTAAAAACTTTATTTATTGTCCCAAATTATTTTGCAAAACAGATATATCATCTCGATTTTGTGTTACTTACTTAGGTACTTGTATTTATTTCACACTTACATGAATACGTATTCAATACCATATCCATACATTATATTTATGCATGGACACTTTAAAGAACAAAATTTATAAAATTAGAAATGGCGTTAATAAAAAATAAACAAAAATTTTTTTTATTGTTTTTCAAAATTCAATCAACTAAATAAACTTTCATTTCCAAAAAAAATGTACAAAAATTTCTATATTACCCGCATTCTATAATAATTATGTATAAGGTATAAATACCTACGTGTAAGTTTTGTGTATAGCTCATCCTTAAAATAGATTTTAAATGTTGATTTGTAATGTGGTTAATTTCCCATACATAATAATTTTCTATGTATGAAATATGAATATTTAAATCAACCGAACACAAAATATTACGATATTAGCACTTCAATTTTGATATTTTGTATGAAGTTATACTATTTTTAGTGCTATGATTATTTATAACATTACATGTATGGTAAAGCAATCTGTTACAATCATAATAACTAACAATATTGTCTATTATAATTTTATATAATAAAATTCATTATGATTATTTACATTTCTTCCTGTATAAACACAATATGTTGTGTAAATTTTCAATACATACATATGTATACATAATATAAGCACATACATGCATAAAATAATTTAATGTTGATTGCAAACATGGGAAAAATTTTATTTTAATATTATTAATAAAACTAAAGTACATTATAATATAACATTGATAAATTCCATATGGATTATAATTATAATATCCTTCATAAAATGGTATACAATATAACAGAAAAAAAATTAAGCATTGCTATGGACTTTTAATAATCGAATCATTGATGGGTAAGAGAGAGGGAGAAGAGAATGGAGACATTGGTTCATTTAAAATGTACATAAAATAAAATAATTCCAAAAATTATTAATTTTACTAAAACTAAATTAGTTAAGAGCCAAAAAAATGAAATAATTTAATTATGTTGTGAGAGAATGAGAATTTTTTTTCTTCTTAATTTTCCGTATTATACCGTGGTAAAAGAAAATCGAAGATCATTTGGAATGAGATTAAATTAAAATTTCTCCATTTTGATAAACAAATGAAGAGGAACGAGTAATGAGATTTTTAAATAAATTTGTATACCTTTTATAATTAACATATTGTATAACACCTACATGTTTAATATAAAAATTACATTAATATTAAAATTTTGTTACATTGAAAATTGGGATTTAAAGAGAAAAATTTCCCTCAAACTTTAAAAAAAAGAGAGCGGTTTTAACAAGATATAACTATATTAATGTTATGGGAATAATATTTATATGCATAATTAATTATAAAGAAATATTATATAATTTTTATATTTAATATTATTTTGTGCAATTAAAATTTATTTTATAATGTTTACAGCTTATTGCGGGGATTTTAAATTTTACTTGCAATTCGTAAATTCTTTTTTAAACAAAACAGCTATGTCAAGTTCGCACCTGGGGGGAGCATAGGGTTGTAGATAACCATAAACCAGTTTCTTACGACATTGAGTTAATTAGGTAGGTGACGAACCAGACGTAGGTTAGTGGAATAGTTTGACTATAACGATTTGAAGTTTTAAGTTTGAAGTAAATTTAATCAGAAGTAACTGTATGTTGATCAAATTGAAAAGTAGAGGGACAACATAAATGAATATTCATATACATTTTGTTAATTAATTTAAATATATAAATTACCCGATAGCATCCATAAAATTACCCATTTGTGAGTAATTACCGCAGGTTGAGAAATCTTGGTCGAATACACGATAGTAGCATTTATTTAATTATTATTTGTATTAAGACAAATCAATACAACCAAATATCCCGAATTCCAAAGTGAAAAAAAATTAATGTATACTTAATTGTCAAATCGGGTATCGTATAACCGTTTGAATAATAATTGCCATTTGCAATACACAGTGAAAGATTAATTAATTGCCGACTTATTGCAATGTTCTCAATTTCGTCTCTCATTACACTGTGCTCAATATATAAATCTCTTTAAATTCATTAATTTCATTAAACACTTTTTATTTATTACTTTAAATTTTTAATTCTATATGTTGAAAAATTAAATTAAACCTACAATTATAATTTACATACTGTGTATAGAGAAATGTTTAAAAAATATAACACAAAACATCTTCAAGCATAAAATCAGATTTAACTGAATCGTATACCTATATAACAAAATTTGAAGAAGTATAGAAAAACAAAATACCAAAATTACTGAAAAATTATGAATTATATTAAAAAACAACAATTTCCCCATAATAAAATTTGTTATAAATTTCCTTGCTCCTTCTTAATATTTTTATATAACAATAATTTTAAAATGTTTTTTTTTTGTTATACTCTTGTCTTTATTTACATATAAACATTATTTAAATCTCAGTTCTTGCAAAAAAAAAACAGAAACAGTGATATTATTAAAAGAAAATCCCAATATTATTGTTATATTTTAATTTACATATGTACATACATACATAAGTATTATACAAAATTCACATATTAAGTAGCATTATGTAAAATACTTAAAAAATTCATATACTGTGCTAAAAACGAATGTAAAAATTTTATATTTTGGCAAGGATAATGTTATATTCGATTATTTGTTTTTTTATACCTTCCTTCTCTTTGCATATTCTTACATATATAAGCGTGTATAACAAAAAGGACGATCTTAATATTATTATTATTGTATTTATATAAAAAAAATGAAATTATAATAAAAAATTTTTTACAATATGATAGTTTTAAACTTAAAAGACCTTTCTTTTCAGTTTTTTCCAAACTTTAAGATAATATATTTAAATATGATTATGATTGTTATACTGTTTGTATCTGTATATTTATATGGTGATATATGTGTGTACCAGAATTATATAACATAAATAAGAAGATTTTAAAGGTCGAAGATTCTGTTTGAGTCAAATTTGTTATTGAAGTGCGGTATATACTCATACTATGTGTTGCGCTATATCAGTATAGTATAATATTCTTAAAACGGATACTTATTAGGGTAGGTTACGTTTAATACTTTAACTTTATAGCATTAACAGAGTTTTAAATTAGTAGCTTTAATAAAACTATTGTCGCATTTAAAAATTTTCAGCTGTAATAGTGTATAAAATAAAAATAATTTTTTATAATATTGTATAACAGTTTATCAAACTGTTATACAATATTATAACAGTTTATTAAACTGTTATACAATATTATAAAATATCACTGAAACTTGCATATAATTTTAAAAATTTAATATTTCTACAGATTTAGTAATTTTTTCTAAGTTTGGAATTAAAATTAAATGACCAGGGTCTTAATTATTTTGCTTTTTCCAAAATTCGGGTAATTTTTCCCGAACTATGTACAGAGACCAAATATTTTTATTCAACAGATTTAAATGGTACCCAAGTTTAATTTTACATCATATGGAAATTATTTGAGTATTTCTTCTTGCTTTGAATACGGAATACCCTGTGGTATTGATGAATTCTCGATAAGCTCTGATGGAATTCCAATCAAATTTTAGCCCCCAAAATAAGTCCATAACTGAATGTAGTTAATTCATATGGACCTATATCAATATTATAAACTTTTAAATGCACACCCAAAAAAAAAAAGAACAACAAAGCAAAAATTCTATAAACAAAATGATTTTGTGGACATACTAAAAATATTTTTTATATTATGTGGTAATAAAATAAAAATTTTTTAATATTTTTATCCTTATTTCATATATGTTATATACATACATACGCAAATATGAAAATTGTTTATGAAATACAGGAGAGAGTAAAAGAAAAAACAAAAAAAATCAGGGTCCATTTTCTTTTATTATCCTTTTATTTTGTAATTTAAAAGCAATATTGTTTTGATTTTATGATAATCTTCCTTTATAACATTTCCCAACAATAAAATTGAATATTATGTACTTTTGTTACCTACATATGTATATGTATATGTATATACATATATGTAAATTTGTTTACATGTAGGTGCTTTTACTTTTATATAGAATTTTCTATGTTAAATGATATTTGTTTTTGTTGAGGTTTCAATTTAATTTCAATGGAAAATTATGAAAAATATAAATTTTATTTTTTTTATTATTTTAAAATTATTTTAAAATTATCATCGCCTTTTGTATAATTAATTAAAAAAAATCATTTTCTCTTATTTTCTTGCAGATACCTTTTTTATGATTCGTTCATAAGTACGAAGTTTCGAAATTAAAATAAAAGATTTTGCTACTAGAGAGTGAAAAATACTCATATTATCACACTACGCGTTGCATCCCGTACTGAAGAATGAGAAAATATAAACGAAAAGGAAAAGTATAAGACTTGCTATTTCATATAGAAATCTCTGAGAGAATCTCCAAAAACTCTGTATTAAGGTAATTAACTTTTTAATTAATCATATTTTCCCATATATGAGATGATCAAGTTATGGTCCAATAATTAAGAAAATTTATGCTGAACTGTGTTCGTTATGAACCACAAATAATTTCTTGTCGACTTCAGGAGTTTTCCTGTAAAATTATGTTAATTCCATATTTTCACGTATATGGTTACCAAATTATGGGTAAATTGGACTCTGCGAACTGAAATTTTGGTGGCATTAATTCAGTAATGTCTACAATTTGCAGGGAACAACTGATCACGTTTCTCTTTATATTTGATAATATGAGATTTTGACATATCTTGATTTTCAACCCTTGGGTTTTCTTGGTAAAGATAATAAAAGCTCACTATCCAAATTACTTATAAAACAGCTTAAGATTTTTTAGATCAATGCCTTTTCTCACCTAGAAATAACTACTTTCTAACGAGTTGCCTATTTTTATCTGATCCAGTAAGATGTTAGAATGCTTTGCCGGTAATCCGGGGACTCCACCTCAGTAGATAGATTCGTAGATTCTAAGGAAACCGAGTGGGACAGGAGTAACCCCCCAAGCCACCGCAGCCATTTTTGACTTATTCTAGCCCCCCAACTCTTTCGTCTATAATATCCCCGTCCCAATCACAAAGCCGGAGATATCCCTAAGGGAGTTGGACAACAGTTCCCGAACACTTAGGGATCCATGTCCAAGACGATTGCGGCGCCGAACAGCCAGTGCCGGACAGTCACAGAGAATGTGCACGGCGGTCTCATCGCCACCCCCACAAAATCTGCACAGGGGGGAGCCCGACTTCCCCAGCCTATGCAGGTGGTAATTCACTGGGCAGTGCCCCGTGAAGAAATTCGCAATAGTGCGAACCCGGCTCACTTTCGGAAAGAAACACTTTCGCATGACGGTACCCTTTCGTGTCCCGCCAGTGACGGGCGCATTCCGCCGCGAACAGGCAGGCAAGCCTGGCTCCCACGGCGGAAGAAAGCAGACCGCAAAAAGGCAGCAGCTGCACAAAGTCAGCCCCAGATCCCCACCGCGCCAGCTCATCGGCAACTTCGTTGCCCGCATGGCCACTATGGCCCGGCACCCAAATGAGCGTCACTCTGTTCTCCGATGCCAATTACATAAGTGCAACAAGGCAGCTCCAGATCAGCTTGGATGTAACTTGAGCTGAACGAAGCGCCAGCAGTGCAGTCCTGCTCTCTGAGAATACATAGATGGTGCGGTTTCTATACCCCCTCTCCAAATTGATTCTCAGGCAGATCTCTATTGCATGTATTTCGGCCTGGAACACTGTGCAATACTGGTCAAGGGTTGCATATACACGCGTGTCCGGGCGGACACCGTATACGCCCGAACCCACACCCGACTCCGTTTTGGACCCGTCCGCATACCACACGCTCGAACCCGACCTAAGTACCGGACCACCCCGATCCCACGTCCATCGATCGGGAAACAGAACCCTGTAGCTGTGGTCGAGGTTGTACTGCGGCAGACAGGTATCCGACATGGTTATTCTTAGAATCGGATCGCTCCCAATGAAGTCTCTATGAATTCTGTAGGCCAACTTTAGCCTTGCCCCGTCCTCGCCAGAGAGAGGTCGGTAAGTCACTAGCCGAGCTTCCTTCAATATATGGAGGTACAGTGGCGGCAATCCGATCATCACCTCCAATGCAGCGGTGGGAGCCGTCCGCATTGCCCCGGTCAGTTCCAGGCAGGCCAGCCTCTGTAGCTTTTCCAGCTTGGTCCGCACACCCGCCTGCTGAGCTTTACGGCAGCATACAATCGGCAGCATACATAGCTGACGATGGGCCTAGCAAGGGCCGTATATAGCCACAGTGCTATTCTGGGACTAATTGCCCAGGTCCCCCCGATGAAGCTCCTGCACGTCCACAAGGCCGCCGTAGCTCTCCCGATAACTCAATCTATATGGGTATTCCAAGAGAGACGATCATCCAGGGTTACCCCCAGATACTTCACCTCCCTCGAGTAACTAATACGTTCACCAAACAGAATTGGGCTCGTTAATCTGTCCCTGCTTCTGCGTCTGGTGAAGGCGACTTAAGTGCTCTTGCTTGGATTTATATTTAACTCAACGCCTTTGCACCACCTTTCCACAACACGTAAATTTTACTGTAGAAGATCAGAAATAGTGCTTTCAAATTTTCCCCGCACGACGAAGGCCACATCGTCGGCGTATCCCCAGACAAAGTACCCCGGAGCCCCTGAGAAAAGCGATTACATCATCCACTACAATGGACCACAGGAGGGGCGAAAGAACCCCGCCCTTCGGACATCCTTTTGCAACAGTGCTCTAGCGATATGTTGGAAACCCCTCTGCAAAAATGCAGGATATATCCCGTCATCACCTGGAGATTTGAAGGGCACGAAAGTGAAAACAGTCCATCTAATCCCGCCCATCGTGAAGACTAGACGGGATCGTTGTCAGTCATCCCTCCTGGGCCAGGATGCCCTCGGTTCAATGATCGCATTTGAGTGATTCCGAAGAATCTCCGAGTCAGGAAAGTGCATTGACGCCATAAGCTCCAACGTCTGCTTTCCGTTCTCAGTCATGGAGCCATCAGGACGTTCCATTAGGCCCAACCCGCTAGCATACTTTTTGGAAAGCACCCTGTAAAGACGCGCACTGCTGGAGAGTTCATCAATGCCCTTGCAGAAAGCCCTCCACGAAATTCTCTTCGCTTTCCTAATTCCTTTATTGTATTTCGTGAGTGAGTCTTTATACTCTTCCCACTAACCCGATGCCTTGGCCTTGTTGAATAGCTTTCTGGTCTTTAGTCTAAGCCTTGAAAGCTCTTCATTCCACCACGGGCACTTCCTATTGCTCCGCCTCGGCTTAGCGCGGCAGCTCCCATGGTAGGCATTAGTAATAATTGCCGTCAGAACCAATCTGTGGATTAGGGTACTCGATACATTTCTTCTGCCAGGCCCCCGGAGACCATGATATCAAATCTTCCCCAGACGGTGTGGTGGGCATTGGCATCACTTCCTATTATAAGTTGGAAGTTCCTCCTTCCACAAAAGTCCACTAGATCTTTCAGTTGCTCGTCCGGGTGGGCACAGTCCCTCGGGAGGTAGGATGAGCACACAATGAACTCTGTCCAGCCCCCGCAGGACTTCACCTTCACCAACGCAGCTACTTGATCCTTAGAACAGTAATCTGGAATGGGAACATACGTTAGCCTTTTACTAAACAAAATGCAAGCCCTAGGCTTGCCCCCAATTGTATTATCATACAATAGCTCACCTGTTAGGCCTTTAATCTGGTCCTTCACTATGTAGGGCTCTCGGATAAGGGCGATATCGAGGTGATCCTTCATAAATCTATGAGCTAGAACATCAGTAGATGCCCTAGCATGCTGTAGATTTATTTAGATGCACCTCACAGCCATATCATTTCCTCCGGCTCTTGTCTATGGGCTTTGGCCCTTTAGAGAAAGGCTTTACACGAGCCTTACCGCTCATTGCCGCCTTTTTACACATCTTGGTGGGCGCCTGCCCTGCCACAGCCTCTTTTGCCGTCCCAGGTGCCACGCCAGCCCCTCCAACAGCAAATACCGAAGCAGTTCCAGGCTTCCCAATGGGCTTGAGCCCTTTTGGTTCCCCCGGGACGCTTGTATTTGGCGTGCTGGTCGATGGTTCTTCCGTTTCCCTTGCCGCCATTTTCGGAGCGACTTCAGACTTTCCAATGAGTTTTGGCTCTTTTGTTTGGCCTGAAGTGCTCGCCTTTGTCGCGGTGGGCTTTGGTTTTTTATTTTGTCCTGCCCTGCCGCCAGCACCTTGAGAGGATTTTCTTCCTTTAACCCGAACGGTAACACGGAAGAAATTCAGGAAAAGTCGGAACTCCGCTTTCCGTACATCTTCCAATCCGAAATCATCCACGGAAAAGGTGATGGAGCAGCCTCCGTCCTTTTCCTTATCCATCCTCAGCACTCTCCAGGAATTTATCTTGAGGCCGGGATTTTGCTTCCCTATCCTACTTAGAAATTTGTCGCTGAAGAGACTGACGGTTGTCTCGTCCTTTGGTACGTAGTTGACGCAGATGTTATGTATGGATCTTTGGTATGTTGTTTGGGCAAGTCGTCGCCATCCAGTACCACGACGTCGCAACCGTCTCAAGGCTTTATCTTCCTGCAGACACTGGTTATCCACTCCCTGGTGTTTTGATTGTTGCATGTTATGTATCCATCCGTCCCTTTGCAACGCTGCAGTGAATTGTGGATGAGAGTCCACAACTTTGTCCATTTCATCCATGATGGCTGCTTTGATTTTCCCCATCTGAACTTCGGATAGCCTTCCCTCTGGATGCAGTCTATGAGTGATGGCCACCTTGACCTGTGCCACTGCATCCCGATAAGAAGTCATTTTCAGGTTTTGTTGAGGAATGTTCCCAGGGACATTTTCCTCAACATTGCCCTTCATCGACTTCTTTTTTGAGGGCCCTGCATCAGGGGTGTTGCTTTCCGACCTTTCCCTCTTCTGGGGATGGTCGGACACAACACCCGATCCGCAGGCCTTCAGCTTTTCCAGCCTTTCCTTCTCATATCTGCGAGCTTCCTCTGGGGACATGCCATCCCTGATATAAGCCGCGATACGCCGCTTGGATGCACCAGAGAAATATTGTTTTTTTCCCCTGATGTGCAACCTTTTCAGGTCCTCCTCAGTTTTTTGGATAATAGGTCCAAGAGGATCGTGATTAACCGTCTCCATCGGAGGCGCCGCCTTTTCCTCCACTGGCGTGAGAAGGAGTTCCTCCTCTGCATCAGTCAAGAGAAGCTCTGGTTCCGAAGACCCTTGAGCACTAAGTGGTTGTATGTTGTCCTTAGTATTGTTGTTGTTGTTGTCACTGTTGTTATTGTTTAAATTTTTCTCCATTTTTGGTCCCACGAATAGCGCGGGAATGTAAAATCACCCATGGGCAGAGCCCGGGATACCATGGGAAGGCTCGTTTAAACTGGAGGGCCCCTGGTATCCAGAGTTCG